AGAGGAACCAGAGATCAAATTGCAAACATCCATTGAATCATCAAACAAACAGAGTTCCAGAAAAACTTCAAGAGATGAGAATACCAGACCACCTGACCTGCCTCCTGAGAAATCTGTATGCAGGTCAAGAAGCAACAGTTAGAACTGGACATGGAACAACAGACTGGTTCCAAATCAAGGCTGTATATTATCACCCTGCTTATTTAACTGACATGCAGAGTATGTCACGAGAGACGCTGGGTTGGAGGAAGCACAAGCTGGAATCAAGATTGCCAGAAGAAATATCAATAACCTCAGATGTGCAGATGCCACCACCCTTATGGCAGAAAGTGAAGAAGAACTAAAGAGCCTCTTGATGAAAGTGAAACAGGAGAGTGAAAAAGTTGGCTTAAATCTCAACATTCAGAAAGCTAAGATCATGGCATCTGGTCCCATCACTTTGTGGCAAATAGATGGGGAAACAATTGAAACAGTGAGAGATGTTATTTTGGGGGGCTCCAAAATCACTGCAGATGGTGACTGCAGCCATGAAATTAAAAGACGCTTGCTCCTTGGAAGAAAAGTTATGACCAACCTAGATATCATATTAAAAAGCAGAGACATTACTTTGCCAACAAAGGTCTGTCTAGTCAAAGCTATGGTTTTTCCAATAGTCATGTATGGATATAAGAGTTGGACTATAAAGAAAGCTGAGTGCCGAAGAATTGATGCTTTTAAACTGTATTGTTGGAGAAGACTCTTGAGAGTCCCTTGGACTGCAGGGAGATCAAAGCAGTCCATCCTAAAGGAAATTAACCCTGAATATTCATTGGAAGGACTGATGCTTAAATTGAAGATCCAATACTTTGGCCACCTGATGCGAAGAACTGACTTATTTGGACTTATTTCCCTGATGCTGGGAAAGATTGAGGGCAGGAGGAGAAGGGAACGACAGAAGATGAGATGGTTGGATGGCATCACTGACTCAATGGACATGAGTTTGAGTAAGCTCTGGGTGTTAGTGATGGACAGGGAGGCCTGGTGTGCTGCAGTCTATGGGGTGGCAAAGAGTCAGACATGACTGGGCGACTGAACTGAATGGAAGTGAATCTGTTTCAGGATAAAGAGTCACATATAAAGAATCACATATAAAGCCATGTTAAGTCTCAGATATGCTTTCTTTTGAGAAAAATATTCTCTTAATTAAATCCTGAATAGTGGTTAGGGCTTCAGCTTTATCAAGAGGTGGGAAAAATATTTCCAGTCAGAATCAAAATACATATGCAGGTCAGAAGGCGAGAAAAGTCATCAGTGGAACACAGTGACTCAGAGATAGTTTAACCTTTGTAGCAGATATTTATACATGTAAGTAAAGCACACAGTAAGTTGGTAACAAGAATAATCATTAGGTAAAGGAATGGGTTACTACAGGTAGGAAAATAATATTGTTGTGGAACATGGAGAAAAATTAGGAAAATTCAGTGTGCAGATATGATTGCATGCCCCTAGCCATGAATATGACTAACTGTCTACTCCACAATTAGAAGGGAAAGGAAATCATAATATTTCTGCATTTTTATTAATGATTATTAAAATTTAAAATGAGACAATTACTTTGCAAAAGTATTGGCTTACTAATTTTCTAAAAAATTAATGCTAACTTAACAGTGATGGGTTTTCCAACATTATTTTAAAAGTTAGCAGATTTCAGAATAATTCCATAATGAATTTAGAGTCTTGGGATGATTCATTTTACACTCTTTTGATGAGTCGTCATAATTGAGTTAAATTTCTTCATTGAGAACATATATAATTGAATTTTAAGAGGTCTTTTTTAAAAAAATAAAATGTGTCTAGGAGTTTTATTTCATTTTTCAGTGTGATTCCATTAACCTTGAGGTTGATCCTTTGGAAGATGAGAAATTATAATTGACATCCTCTATCTGTATTCAAACAGTCTGAAACCACTATCGTCAGATCTTGCTCAGTTACCAAAGGGGAATTTGAAACTGAGTGAGAACGAGATTAAATATTGTTGCATTTCATCCTTTGAATGACATTTTTAGCTCTCTGTGGGACAGTGTATGAAAGTTATTGATTAATTGAAAACAAACCTAATTGACCATTAAGACTTGGTAGAATTTGTCTTGTTGAGCATTATTTGGACTAATTTTTACTGTTACTTCAGAATATGACTATAAAGTACTTAGAAAGATGAGTGTCACAAAAAAATCAATGATTGCTAATCATTTCTGATAATTCTGTTATTTCAGTTACTCAAAAAAGCTTTCACTTTGGATCAAAAATAATTCATTCCTTTTCAAAAGCTCTTTTAACCTGTGTTTAGGTAATTGACTCCTAGAAACATGTTCTTTTTCACTCAGCCAAGACAGCTGGCTAAATAATAGATAATAGACAGACAAATAATATCATGTGCAAGGAGATATGCTAATTAAGGTTATTCAAAGATAGAAACATACCATTCCCTTTTCTCAAAGCAAGATCAAGGGATTAATCTGAGGCAGATGTATTTAATACTATGTGAAATTTTCTGTATTGGAGAAATACATTAATTCAAGAAAATAGATATTTTATTTGGCCCAAATAGCACAATAAGATGTAAAACATGTGAATAGAGAGATAATATGGATGGTTGATGATAGAGCAGTTGGTAAAGAATTCGCCTGCAATACAGGAGACCCAAGTTCAGTTCCTGGGTTGGGAAGATCTGCTGAGAAGGGATAGGCTACCCACTCCAGTATTCTTGGGCTTCCCTTGTGGCTCATCTGGGAAAGAATCCTCCTGCAATGCTGGAGACCTGGGTTCGATCCGTGGGTTGGGAAGATCCCCTGGAGAAGGGAAAGGCTACCCATTCCAGTATTCTGGTCTAGAGAATTCTATGGACTGTTAAGTCCATGGAGTCTCAAAGAGTCAGACACGACTGAGCCACTTTCACTTTGACTTTCATGGATGGTTAAAAGAATACAGACAAAACTGGAGGTCAAGGTTGAAATCTTAGTTCAGCTTCTCTAGTTATGACAGCAGGCAAGACTCTAATATTTCTGCCTGTACGTTTACTCATCTGAAGATTGGAGAAAACTGTCTAGCTCATCAGGTTTGTCTGGAGAGTTGAGTTTTCACATAACAGAATGCCCCAAAACATGGCTTGGCCTGTAGACTACACAGTATATATGCTTTTATGTTATGTGTGCCATGCTGCTTTGCCTTGATAGTCAAGACCTCTCAAGCACTTGTATGACTTTTAAAAATTAGTAAACAACATGTATATATGTTTGGAGAAGGAAATGGCAACCCACTCCAGTATTCTTGCCTAGAGAATCCTGTGGACAGAGGAGCAACCCTATGGGCTGCTGTCCATAGGATCGCACAGAATCGGACACGACTGAAGCGACTTAGCATGCATGCATGAATTGGAGAAGGAAATGGCAACCCACTCCAGTGTTCTTGCCTGGAGAATCCCAGGGACAGCGGAGCCTCGTGGGCTGCCATCTATGGGGTCACACACGGTCGGATATGAGTTAAGTGACTTAGCAGCAGCAGCATGTGTATATGTATATGAATGTATAACTGAATCACTTTGCCATATATATATTTGTTTTTAGATTCTTTTTCATTATCCCTCATTACAAGATATTGAGTATAGTTCCCTATGCTATACAGTAGGTTCTTGTTTATTATCTGTTTATAGATAGTTGTATATATATTTAATCTCAAATTCCTAATTTATCCCCTTTCTCCCCACCTTCCTAACCATAAGTTTGTTTTCTATGTCTGTGCTGCTATTTCTGTTTTGTAAAAATTCCATTTGTATCATTTTCTTGATTCCACATATAAGCAATATTATAAGATATTTATATCTTTCTATAAATATAAAGATATGTATTTATATCTTTCTCTGTCTCACTTCACTTAGTATGATAATCTCTGGGTTTATCCATGTTGTTGCAAATGGCTTTATTTCATTATTTTTCTGGGGAAAGCAATGGCACCCCACTCCAGTACTCTTGCCTGGAAAATCCCATGGATGGAGGAGCCTGGTAGGCTGCAGTCCATGGGGTTGCTAAGAGTCGGACATGACTGAGTGACTTCATTTTCACTTTTCCTTTCATGCATTGGAGAAGGAAATGTCAGCCCACTCCAGTGTTCTTGCCTGGAGAATCCCAGAGACAGGGGAGCCTGGTGGGCTGCCGTCTATGGAGTCGCACAGAGTCGGACACGACTGATGTGACTTGGCAGCAGCAGCAGCATTATTTTTAATGACTGGGTAATACTCATGTGTGTGTGTATACATACATATGTATTACATCCTCCTCATTCAACTGTCAGTGGACATTTAGGTTGCTTCTGTGATTTGGCTGTTGTAATTAGTGCTGCAGTGAACCTTGGGGGGATTCATGTATTTTTTCAAATTATAGTTTTCTGTGGATATATGCCCAGGAATGGGATTGCAGGATCATATGGTAGCTCTAATTTTAGTTTTTTAAGGACCCTCCATCCTGTTCTCCAGGACGTTCCAGGTGGCTCAGTGGTAAAGAATCCACCAGCCAATGCAGGAGATACAATTTCAATTCCTGGGTCAGAAAGATCTCCTGGAGGAGGGCATGGCAACCCACTCCAGTATTCTTGCCTGGAGAATCCCATGGACAGAGGAACCTGGTGGGTTACAGTCCACGGGGTTGCAAAGAGTTGGACTTGACTGAGCGACTGAACACACACACACACCTTCAGTAGATGCAGGATTATGCTACTCCCTACCACCTCCAGTTCTTATGTAAACATATTTTATCCTGGATGTTGGCACCTTGTAAATCAACCATACCTTTTTGCGATCCTCCTGTATCAGCATGTATGATTCAGATTTAATATTTCATTTTCTGGTGCATTCACCAGCTGCTATGTACGGGGGATGCCAGATACTTGTTCTCCTGAATCTCAGCGCCCAGGTGATGGGCTTGTGAGCAGAGCCAACAGAGTGCTCCCTCGCTGGGTGCGGGGCCAGCATGAGTGACGCAGAGACCCGGGGCTGCGGTGCGGCCGGAGCCCTGGGCACGGCATCAGGAGCTTCCTGGGGTGATGGTGGTTCCAGCCGCAGCGGGGCAGGCCTGTCCAGTCTGGAGGTCAGGTTCAGCAGTGACCCCAGCCACCCTGTCCAGCAGGGAGAAGCCAGTGCTGCTCCAAGGGCCCAGCTTCAGAGATTTGTTGTGAGAATGAAATGTCAGGACATGTCAGCTGCTTAGAACCTTAGCTGCACAGTTTCCCCAGGACCCACATTTACTAGAAAATTGGTTGCATGATGCCTGGGTAGTTGTCTGGCCATCTTTCCTCTTAAATCCCCAGTTCCTACAGTAGAACCTGGAATACAACAGTTGCTCAGTATATATTTGAGAAATGAAAAAATGGTGCTGTCTTTGTAGTGGTTTGACATCCGTTGGCTTCCATTAAGTTACTGTGTCTCATTCTCCAGGTGTTTATAATTCTGTCCATCTCTTTGCTTATTCTGATAAGTTTCTAGTCTGCTTAAATTAACCAAAGCTACTTTCTGTTATCTGCGAGCAACACTATGTATTTTTGGCCATATTTAAAATCCTGGATAATGGACCTGCCACAGGGCAACATGAAAGGTCTTTGTTAATTAAACTCCTGACTTGACTGAAATTATTATGCTGTCTGGAGCTCCTAATTAATTTCAGCTATTTGCCCATGTTTTAATAATTTGAGGGGTAATACATGCACATGATACTAACTTAAAAGGCATAAGCAGATACAGAAATAATTATGAAGATGATGGACATAAAGAGTCACGCCTTGCCCTTTGCACTAGTGTTCCTCTTTATGATTAACAAGGTCTCGGTTTTGCTTTTGTTTGTGCATCCTTCACATAATGTACTATTATAGTGTGTGTGTGTGTGTGTGTGTGTGTGTGTGTATTTATTTGGCTGCACCGGGTCTTAGTTGTGGCATGCGGGATCTAGTTCCCTGATGAGGAATGGAACCAGGGCCCCCAGCATTGGGCGTGCGGTGTCTTAGCTGCTGGGCCACCGGGAAAGTCCGCAGTGTGCTATTAATATACGTGACTGTTTCTCTGTTCTTGCTTTCCTAAAATACAGGGATACTATTTACATTATTTATATTTGCCTTTTTAAATTTAACCATATATTTGTGAGTTTCTTCCATCTGCACTTGTGAATCTAATTGTTATCAGGTGTGCAGTATTCTATTAATTGGCTAAACCAGAATTTATTTAGCCAATCTTCTGTTGAAAAACATTTGGGCCATTTCTAGTAGTTCTCTGTGATGCCACCATGAAATCCTCTTTCTACAGAGATGCATCAGCAGAAGGCTGAATATACAGGATAGATTCTAAGAAGTGGAAGCACTGCCTAACAGAACGTGTACCTTGTAGCGTTGCTCAGTCTTACCTAGTCTCTCTCCAAAGTGGCGTCCCAATTTCCTCCCAGCCCATCTCAGGAGAGACCTGCACACTGTGTCCCATCTCCCCCTGCCCACGCCCCCCACCTCCGTCCCTGCCTCTCGCTGCCCCCCATTATTACCACTGCTGCTGCCCTAGGACATCAGACGCAGTGTGCAGCTATTTTCCCAGTTGTGCTTCTTAAGAATGAAGAAGGTGAGTGTCTTTTCACGTTATAGGCTGGAGCACTACTGGAAGAAATGCACATACTATAGAATTCACCCTTTTAATGCATACATATACTTCAGGGGTTTTTCTTTTTTCTATTAAAAATGGGGGTTTGATGCTGCAGTGATCGCCACAACCTATGTGAGAACACTGCTGTTGCCCCTAAACTTGAACAGGGCCCCTCAGCAGTCCCCCCTCCTCCTCCTTCTGCCGGGCTCCAGCTTTCGGCAACCACTGCTGTACCCTCTGTCTGTATAGATTTGGCTGCTCTGGATATTGCCTGTAAATACAGTCATTCAATATGTGTGAATGTGAATGACTTCTTGTATTTAGCGTAATGTTTGCAAGATAATATTCCATTGTATGGGTGCATGACACTTTGTTGATCTTTTCACTAGTTGATGGCTGCTGCTGCTGCTAAGTCACTTCAGCTGTGTCCAACTCTGTGAGACCCCATAGATGGCAGCCCACCAGGCTCCTCCATCCATTGGATTTTCCAAGCAAGCGTACTGGAGCGGGTTGCCATTGCCTTCTCCTACTAGTTAATGGACATTTGGATAATTGGAGTAACGCTGCGCTGATATAAATATTCACATACAGATTTATGTGTGAACATAGTTTTTCAGTCCTTTTGCCTATATGTGTTGGAGTGGAACTGCTGAACCTTGTGGTAGCCCCATGTTTCAACTACCTGATGAATGACTGCCAGGCTGCTTTCTGCAGCAGCCTTACCATTGGTACTTCCCATCAACACAGTGCAAGCATCCCAGTTCCTGCATATCTCTGCCTCCACTTGTTTCCTGTCATAATGGTCTGAGCCACCCTAGTGGGTGTGAAGTGGTTTTGATTTGTTTCCCTCATGATTAATGATGTTGAGCATCTTTTCATTTGCTTGTTGGTCATTTTTATGTCTTTGGAGAAAATGTGTATTCAAATTAATTGCCAGTATTTTAGTTAGGTTATTTCCCTGCTAAACGTGTACTGTTTAGCCATGAGGGTTTACATATTCTGGATACAATCCCTGAGTAGACACATGGCTTGCACTTTCTCCCATTCTGATTGTGGGCGGGGCAGGGAGCTGAGGTTGCAGCTTCAATTTTCTTAGTGTTTATTTATTTTTATATATTTGTTTGGCTGTGCTGGGTCTTAGTATGTCATGTGGGCTCTAGTTCCCTGACCAGGGATGAAACCTGGGCCCTCATTAGAGCACAGAGTCTTAGCCATTGGACCACCAGGGAAGTCCAGGGAGCTTTGATTTTAATGGAAAAACCAATTTATTTTTGTTTCTTACACAAGTGTTGCATTGAGTTACCTTTCAAACTAACTTGGTTTGTATTCATTTAAAGATAATCAAAAAGCAAGGGAGAAAAGGAAAGATAAACCCATTTGAATGCAGAGTTCCAAATATTTGCAAGGAGAGATAAGAAAGCCTTCCTCAGCTATCAATGCAAAAAAATAGAGGAAAACAGTAGAATGGGAAAGAATAGAGATCTCTTCAAGAAAATTAGAGATACCAAAGGAACATTTCATGCAAAGATGGGCTCAGTAAAGGACAGAACTGGTATGGATCTAACAGAAGCAGAAGATATTAAGAAGAGGTGGCAAGAATACACAGAAGAACTATACAAAAAAGATCTTCATGACCCAGGTAACCATGATGCAGTGATCACTCACCTAGAACCAGACATCCTGGAATGTGAAGTCAAGTGGGCCTTAGGAAGCATCACTGTGAACAAAGCTAGTGGAGGTGATGGAATTCCAATTGAGCTATTTCAAATCCTAAAAGATGATGCTATTAAAGTGCTGCACTCAAAAAAAAAGTGCTGCACTCAATATACCAGCAAATTTGGAAAACTCAGCAGTGGCCACAGGACTGGAAAAGGTCAGTTTTCATTCTAGTTCCAAAGAAAGACAATGCCAAAGAATGCTCAAATTACCGCACAGTTGCATTCATCTCACGTGCTAGTAAAGTAATGCTCAAAATTCTCCAAGCCAGGCTTCAGCACTACGTGAACTGTGAACTTACAGATGTTCAAGCTTGTTTTAGAAAAGGCAGAGGAACCAGAGATCAAATTGCCAACATCTGCTGGATCATTGAAAAGCAAGAGAGTTCCAGAAAAATATATATTTATGCTTTATTGATAATGCCAAAGCCTTTGGCTGTGTGGATCACAATAAACTGTGGAAAATTCTGAAAGAGATGGGAATACCAGACAACCTGACCTGCCTCTTGAGAAACCTGTATGCAGGTCAGGAAGCAACAGTTAAAACTGGACATAGAACAACCGACTGGTTCCAAATAGGAAAAGGAGTGCATCAAGGCTGTATATTGTCACCCTGCTTATTTAAGTTATATGCAGAGTACATCATGAGAAACGGTGGGCTGGAAGAAGCACAGGCTGGAATCAAGATTGCCGGGAGAAATATCAGTAATCTCAAATATGCAGATGACACCACCCTTATGGCAGAAAGTGAAGAAGAACTGAAGAGCCTCTTGATGAAAGTGAAAGAGGAGAGTGAAAAAGTTGGCTTAAATCTCAACATTCAGAAAAAACTAAGATCATGGCATCTGGTCCCATCACTTCATGGCAGATAAATGGGGAAACAGTGGAAACAGTGGCTGACTTTATTTTTCTGGGCTCCAAAATCACTGCAGATGGTGATTGCAGCCATGAAGTTAAAAGACGCTTACCCCTTGAAAGGAAAGTTATGACCAACCTAGACAGCATATTGAAAAGCAGAGATATTACTTTGTCAACAAAGGTCTGTCTAGTCAAGGCTATGGTTTCTCCAGTAGTCATGTATGGATGTGAGAGTTGGACTATAAAGAAAGCTGAGTGCCAAAGAATTGATGCTTTTGAACTGTGGTGTTGGAGAAGACTCTTGAGAGTCCCTTGGAGTGCAAGGAGATCCAACCAGTCCTTCCTAAAGGAGATCAGTCCTGGGTGTTCACTGAAAGGACTGATGTTGAAGCTGAAACTCCAATACTTTGGCCACCTGATGTGAAGAGCTGACTCATTTGAAAAGACCCTGATGCTGGGAAAGATTGAAGGTGGGAGGGGAAGGGGACAACAGAGGATGAGATGGTTGGATGGCATCACTGACTCAATGGACATGAGTCTGAGTAAGCTCCGGGAGTTGGTGATGGACAGGGAGGCCTTGTACTGCAATTCATGGGGTTGCAAAGAGTCAGACATGACTGAGTGACTGAACTGAACTGAAAAGATAATCACCTTTTTTTTTCAGTTTATCTACTGACTGGAGACAGTTAAGAGGTTGTTTATTTTTATCCATAAAAACAGTGTAGCCATAACTTTGAAATGAATGGTTGTTGTTGAAGCATTACTTACACATAGACTTTTCTCATTAGTTGAATGGGAGACTTTCTTGTGATTCAAATTACTTTGTGAGGCAAATTGTTTTTCCTGACAATAAGCTCATCATCACATGAGAAGAAAAATTAGTTGTTAAAGCAAGCTGTTCTTTTGTTAGACTAAAAAGAAATGGGTCAGTGTAAAGAAAATTCTCAACAGCAAAATGATGGTTCCAGTCAGGCTCACTGGATCAGTAAACTCCGACATCCACAGAGTATAGTGCAGG